AAAACATTACGGTAGATACTGGCACTTATCTGAAATCATCCCTCCCGTGCAACACGTCACTTTATCTAGAATGTAGTTTGGAGCCTTTATGCTTTTCTATCTTTCAGAGAGCATGATGTTGTGCTGGCTGTGTTTTAGGAGAAGTTATTTATTGACACCTACACTATTCTGTAAGATGTTGAAACCATTAACTGCCTGGAACTGCTGCAAAACCGTGTGGTTCTTTGTCGTTTTAAGAGTGAACAAAAGACGATATTTCGCCTTGTCTAACTGCCAAAAAGAGTTAAAGCAAGTAGCAAAGCTGTCCTTCGTTTGTTTGGGTGCCTCGTGTGTGAAGATCCCTCATAGTTTCAACATTGCAGCTTCATATTATAGGACACGTAGGGGTTCCTCAGCTGGGGCCAGTCCATCTTGGTTTGTCTTTATAGTTTTAGTTTGTCAGTGTCATCTGGATGGATCAACATTGTGAACTGAAGCACGCAGCAGCAACACAGCGTGAAAGCTGTACCTGTTGTGTCATCATGTGTAGCAGACAGTTCGCTGCTGCTGCTTCCTGTTTCAGTTTAGGAAAGCAAAGTATGCAAACAAAGTACATCGCTGCACGTGTGAAAAGGTGTCTGGATGTGTGTAATCATGTTGTACATAGTTTTAAATAAATGGTAAAGCAACGCGCTGGTGCTGTGGTTGTCTGTGAGGCGTTCACGGTGAACGGGGATGGGGAGTAGTACTGTAGTACTGTCTTCTGGTGGAGATTTGTCAGGTTTCAGAAAATAACCCTGTTGGTGTCATCGGGGGTTGGTAGCAAGGAGTCTGAAAGATGAGAGCATTTACAAGATGGTGGGGTCTAACAAAAGAAAACAAAAGGGTCCAATGTATTCAGCCCTTGATATGTACAACAACTAAAGGTCAGAGCGTCTATGCATGCTTCAGATTAAATGACAAACCTTTGTTACATTGTAATCAATCCCAAAACTGGCCTTCAAGCTAACCAGAAAGTTTTCTTCCTCCAGTGGAAGACGAGTGAGCCAATTATAATATCTTCGACTTATAACCCGACTATTTTCTTTAAAGCAAACATCCACAAATATTCACTTTATTTACATAAACAAGCATTTTTTATATGTTAAATTGGGCTATTTAAGAATTGTACTCCTACTAATAATACGGTTAAAAGAAACACGTCAATGCTGTCTGGTCTATACAATGGAGACAGTTTATAAATTACCTTTAAATTTCTCATTTTTGTACACTTGCACTTTCTTACCAACACACATACTGATACCAACATATAAATGAATATGAGCTGATGTATTTATGATTTAAAAGTCGGGTTTTAGTTTAATTTAACTTTCTAAATCAAAAACTATACTATAACTAGTTTCTAAAAACTATCTAAGTCCTGAAAGACCTCTCAGTGAGCAGCAGGAGTTTCACAAACTGCAACAGCAGCAGTGTGCGCACATACAGCAGAGCATGTTTCAATTACAGATCGATCTGTAGCAAGCTTTAAACCTCATACCAGTGACAGTATTTACAGTTTATATAACATTATTTAGTAAAGTCGACTAAAGGAACTGGTTTGGTCTCATCCACTAACTCACATTTATCAGGCTGCAGATTCTGACTCAAGGGGGGAACCCTTGTCAGACCAGTTGTGTACCTGAACCACATATGGAAAATAAAAGTAACAGCCCATTGTGCATTTGCTTCTCAAAAACACAAAGAAAATGTAAATCTACTTAATGTTACTTGAAATTATAAAACATTTACTGTAGTAACTTTTGACTCTATTCAGAAGCTTGTTTTTGCTTTCAGAAACAGACTCTAGCTCTAGGTGGCGTTATTATAACTACCTAATGTTAATGTTAAGAAAACAACTCGTGGACAAATAAGACACTGAAGTCTGAAGTTCTTAATGAAATTTCCAAGTGTAAACAGTGCAACTTTTATTGATTTGTTTTAAAAGTAATTTCTATGACACAGTGCACGTTGCTGACATTGCTCTGCACACTGAACAAGTGATGACGTACAGTATGAGGCCTCACTCACATCCAGTTTTATTTAAGTGCGGTCCAACAACAGTTGAAAACGAGCGTGCGTCTAACTCAGCGACAGTATACGATCCAACTGTGACACGGTGCAAAGAAATGTCTGCAAGTGATGACAAAATAATGATACAGTGCGGCTTGTCGCTACACAGCTTCAATTTAAGTGTGTGCAAATGTGAAATTAAAGCTGTAATCAAAAGATGGCAGCCCCGCCACACAAAGCTGTGGCACAGGTTTGTTACGAATTGATGTTAAAACCCAACTCGTCAAACTGCAGACTGAGGCTTCAGGGAAGCATTAGGTTCACTAAGACATCAGTACGTTTAGTATTTGACGTTAATCTCATGTCCACGAGTCGGCATCAACAGCCCCGTCCTGGTGCTTTCTGGGAAGGGAAAAGGGCCATCTTCTAAAGGACAATTCAGGTGTCTTTTGTGGGGTTTTTTTGCATGTTTTTGTCAATTTTCTACCACAATTACACATAGAATTGTTTAGTGCTGAAATTATTAGCCAGTCAACAGACAATCGGCAACAATTTTGAAAATAAAGTAATTTTTCATGCAAAAATGCCCAACATTGACTGGTTCCCCTTTTCTCTCTCTTATATCATTGTAGGTTGAAAGGTATCTTGTGGATTTTTCTTGTAAACAAAATTATGTTTACATTCAAGTGCCTTGTGTATCTTAGAGGTCTAACAAATGTGTTGAATGCATTTTCATCCTCATAAAACATTTACAGTGCCTTTATTTATTTTTTAGGAATCATTTTACATAGTTTGAGTCCATGTTTACGAGCTAGTCTTCTTCTTTCTTGCTTTTTTTTTTGTCACTGCTACCAGCAGCTGATCGGTGGCAAAGTGTGAAACCATCACCAGTGTGAGATACAAACAAAAAGGGGACCCAGGCTTAAGACCACTGCTCTATAGCGCTGTAACTGGTCAAAAACTCCACAAGGTACCTTTAATCATCAAACTGTCAAACTGTTTCAAGACGTCACCGTGGGCTCTGGGGCAATTTATAGACTCAACAATTAACTGAAACAAACAAACAAAACCCTGACAGATTAACGGATAATAAACTGTTATTTGCAGCCGTAGTATTACTGCCATGCACACCACGGAGAAGGACTCCTACGAACCACGCAGCCTTTGGTTTCCAGCTTTCATTTCACTTCTACAGCATGGAAATCTACTTGCAGAAACATGAAACTTGCTTTAGAAGCCTAATCCATGAGTTAGTCACCGTTGCTTTGTAGTGCCTTAAATGGTGTCAACTGTCATTTACTGTACTGCGGTACAACAGTGACGCAGGGTTTGACAGAAACAGACATGATTTTCACCTGTTTCAAGTCTCTGCAGGTTTCATCCAGCAGTGAACCTTAAAGACCGTCTGGAAGGTAGGGAAAGAAATACTTTGCAAAATTATAAGCAAGAATGTAGAGGGAGAAAAAAAAAAAGGGGGCTTAAACGTGAAAACACCAGTATTGTTCTTTAACCTCAGCATTGACACTGATCATCGTGGTTGTTGTGGAGGTAACTGTTAACCAGCCCCTGCACTGCCCACAGCTGAGTACCTCTCTCTCCCAAACTGGATCACACCAAAAACACCATTCGGACTTAAAAAGGCACAGACGTGTAGTTATAAGAGTAAAGTTTGCACTACGCTTGAAATCTAAAACGTTAAACTCAACAAGCTTTGACCTACAATGCAACCCTTGACCACAGCTGTAGACCCTGCTAATCTAATGCCTCTCAATGCCCTGCACCCCCTCCCCTCAGCATCAATAGTATTTTAAATCGCACAGAAAAACAAAAGGAAAACTCATGGCTGGTAATTAAGTACTTTATCCACGTTGTGGAAGTGATCATAATTCTTATTCATTTAACTGTTTCCTTTTTTTATCCCTTTGAGTCATTAAAAAGAAGAAACAGAGTGAGACTCTTGGCAACTTTCTTCATCTGGGTCCCCAGAAATATTTGACAAGAGAGCAGCCACGCTGTAAACAATTAACCACTGCTGATGTGAAGGAGCTCCTGATCACACGAAGGAGAAAATCCTGAGAACAACGGACTCGGTTCATTTCCCCTCTCTTGTGGAAATTAATGGAATCATTCATCTACATTTTTCTCTTTTCGTGTGTCCATATCTTTGTATATGCAAACTCTTTTCATCTAATAAGAAAATATTTGTGAAAGGTTAAATGAAAATATACAATTATTAATACAATAGAATACAGAGCTATATGTTAAAGGTGATTAAAAAAACAGGTTGATTGTATCTCCCTTTACAATGCACGCATTTTCCTTGGTTTAAAGGCAAGAGGTAAAGTGTATAAGAAAAAGGCAGCCTGTTCTGTCATCCAAAAGGCTGGTGCTCGAGGATTAGGCGATTGCTTTAGCTTCTGGTAAGAAAGCCTCCCAGTACTTTATCAGCTGGAGGGAAACAAAAAAAAGAGAGACAGTGTCATTTCATTCCTAATTAACAGACAACAAGTGGTTAATGTTTAGGATTTACAACAGATGTCTCTGCATCTTTCCCAGTTCTGAATCCTTTTAACTGACCATTTGTCCAACATCAAGTAATAAATTACAAATATCTCAGATCAGATTCCTCAAATGTGAGCACTTTACATCATTAAAAAACATTTATGGGGTCTGCAATCTGAAGACATGTTTTAAGACTCTTGAGACCTCAGGGAGAGCCTTTTCAGTATTATTTTATATACTATTTAATTAAAGATTTTAAAAAATGTATCACCAGATGAATTAATAATGAAATCAGTTCTTACTTGCAGCCCTAATCTTTCCCTTTCCAGCAGTCAAAGATTATTTAAACTCTGCTCCCTAGCTCATATTTTATTTATTAAAAATGTTCCTTCTGTGGTTCAGAAATATTGTAGATCACTATATCTCTTATTACAGCACTTTTCACACTTGTCACATTTCATTTTGGTCATTTATAATTCAAACTCATTGAACTCCTGAACTCTTTCTGGAAAAGATCAGTCAGTTAAATGACTAAAATGTAAAAAATGTACAACTAATTCAGACACGTGCATAGCCAAGGACTTTTTAAATCCTTTAAATAGGAATAAAAAAACAAAACAAGGCTTTTATAAAAGATAGATGTACACTGACTGGTTTAACAAGAAGAATATTTGATTGTGGAGATATTAAATATTCATGTTAGACTGCAGAAACGCTCACCTGGTGCTGAGACTGAAGCAGAGACTCCAAGTACTTAATTATCTGTCTTTTGAAATTCTTGGTCTTTTCTTTCTGTAGGATTAAAAGAAGAACATTGCATCAGTCAGTAATAACAAACACTGTCAGCTGTCCAGCAACTGATGCAACAAGGATAAACATCAGTACCTCAAAGCGGATGACTTCCTTGCGCACAGTAGCAGAGACTCTTTCAAAGTCTCTCTCATACTGCGTCACCTTGGCCTCCCACTGTTAACAAGAAAAGAAGAAGAGTTCAAAGTCCCGCTGTATAGAAGCCCATTCATGCCAGGATATTAAAAAAAGCATTAAATGTAAGGAATAATTTCACTAGTTAAAGTTGAAATTTAGTTTCTGACATTTCTGACTACGGAAGTCAAAGAAAGACATTTATTAAATGTTTGATTGACTATCAAATTATGACTGTGAATATTTCTAACTTTTCCTATTTTTTGTGATTGTCCTGCTGTAAGTATATAATATGTATATATATATATATATGTAGTACACAATCCAACAAGAAGATATGTATGATAGTATGTAGTATAGTAGTATAGTGTGATGTTTGGTTAAAGTGAGTCTTAATAATACTGATGTTTAAAAGCAGCCTCGTCAGACAGAGTAAAAACTTGAACTCTCAATATTCAAGCAAAGAGAAAGTAAATGAGCATCATGACAAAACAATATCTAATGTAACCCTAACAGCAATAACCAAGGTAATAGAAAACAATCTAAAAAAAAGCCTTGCTCCCTGTTTCTGATGGGAGGAACAAAGTGAAAGCTTTTCAGGTGGCTCATTTATAATTCAAACATTGTTCTCAATCTTGAAAAAGAAAAATCACATCAAACTCCAGCTCTTCCATCCCAGCCTCGTCCGAGTTATTTTCACTATGTTGACTTTGGCCCTTGTTCTTACCTCGGCAATCTCCTCTTTGGCCAGCTGCAGTTTGTCCGGCTTGTTGGCCCACAGCAGTTTGGCCTCCGTCTCCCTCTTCTTCTGCAGCGCGGCCTGAGCATCCTGCCAACGCTGCCACGCCTTCATCCGGTGATCAAACGACCCCTGCAGGTCACCAACACACAGGGGGATTCTTTCATGTTTATATTTTGCTAAGTGCGGCTCCTTTTCAGACCAACTTTCCAAATACATTTATATAAATAGCGTGTGCCTGCTCTCTCTGTATGTAGTGATACATCACTCTGATACTGCCTCGCTCTGTAAAGTACATACAGTTCATCAATGGCTACATTCTTCTCCATCTTAGCGATTGACTTCTTATTTATAGTTTCCTGGATTTTCTTCTTGTCACTGGAAGTACTTCCTCAAAAAACAGTCTTGCAAGCATTTTTCTTACAAGGATTTAACACAAGTAGGCGGTCTAAATTAAAATGGCAGACTCGACCTCATGGATTAAGATAACAGACAGATTGGATTTTTTTTGAGATTGTACTGAAATCTCTAAACTCTACAAACTCTACATATCGACTCTGATGTTTACGTGGACCTGGCGTTAACCCCTAACCTTTGAAAAGTGTAACTATGCAGAATTATCTCTGACTTCCTGAAATGAGCTGAACAGATTTTCTCAGTACCCTCACGGCTCCAAGCAGGCGGATGTAATCTGCGATGACTTCGGCAAAGGCGAATGTGTCGTAGGCAGCCTGGTCCTGGTGTAGCTGCTCCATCTTGTCCTCCACCTCTGCCAGCTGAGACAGAGCTCGGGACAGAGCGGTGTTGTCCTCTGCGCTGCCCAGCATGGCTGTGCTTTTGGCAAAGCTGGCTGTATTTAACGACAGCTCTGGAGGGGAAGAGCAAACATGAATGCATACTAGGGCTGCACAAATGATCAATATATTATCAGAACTGCAATAGGGGCCAAGGTTTTTGATAAAAAGGTGAAATGTGTGACAGAACAGCTTCATGATGAAGTACTGCAGTGCCTACGAATTTGTTCTCCAGATGTATCAAATCATTTTTGTTTTGTACAGACCCCCAACAAAATCATCAGGATTTTAATGTTTTTTTCAGTTTAAATTTGTCACACAAAAATGATGGTGCCTACGCTAATCGTGAATCATCCGCAGTTGCAATATCGGTCAAAATAATTGTAATATAATGTTTTTACCATATTGTGCAGCCCTACTGTCAACTGGTGCGTCCTGTTCACCATGTACATTGAAACACCAAAATCATGAGAAACAAATAAGTGATCATCTGAACTACTTTCTGGGAATAGCTCTGAGTACGAATAACACTTAGTACGGAGTGCACTGGTAAAGAAATTGTTGTTAGTCTTACTTATTTTGTGTCCATTTAGACTTTAATAAAAGTTGTTTTCATTTATTTATACTTAGATTTAGATGTTTTTAAGGGAGGCAGAACTAAACTCATAAACAAACTGAACTTGCTAATATCTCCAGTCAAAATCTGTTTAATGAATCTCTATGGTCTCCAGTTTCTGATACCAGCTCATATCATGGTGAAGGAAATGACGGAGATGCCCCTCATTCTCATTAATGAATGCCGCCATAAGGTCTTCGTGTCAAAAATGATCCTCACCCCTTTTTTAAAATCGGACTAATAAATAATCAGCACAGGACATTAATCGAACGCGTGTCTTTTAGTGGCTGGAAGAAAGAGAACTAACCTTTCCTGTGGAGGACCAGAGATTCGACCAGCGCGTGGAGCTTCCTGAAGTGCTGGTCTGAAGACTCCACCTCCTGCAGCTTCTCCTCAAACCACTGCAGCAAAACACACAGTTAGTACAACTCCAACACTGAGGCTGCTGCTTAACGCCCACTGTTATTCCTCATATTCATGTGGAAGCTTGGTGTCAATATTATTGTCAGTGTAACAACATCAAAATTGTGAGCCACATTACTGAGGATATATCACATAACTGTAAAAATCGAGAACATGTTACTATGATGCGCTTTTCTTTTTTAATGTATTCAGATGGAATAAACATGTACTTGAATATTTAAATAATCTAGGATAATAGGAATGTACGTGGTACTTTGAGCTCAGATCAGTTTCTTTTCACTGCAACTTATGACAAATAGGGTCTTAGGTCAGAGTGATTGGTTGCCTCACATTTAGCATTTAGTGAGCTGTGGTGCTCTCTACTAAATGTACAGTTTGCCAAATGTTAGCTTGCACTAGAGCAAACAAAAAAAGCACTGGACAGAAAATGGTTCAAATCAATAGCACCGCATCAGTTTACAAAGAAATGTGTCTGTCCGTTGAGTGTATCATAACAAAAAGAAAAGTGAAAATTCTCCTCAGAGCAAATTCAGATTCATTATGAAAAAAGTTAACAGGCTCATGTTCTGACTAACATCAAGCCACCGTTTGTCTTTAACTGTGAGCTTCAAATGTTCTGCTTTTTAACTGGAAAATCCAGATTTCCTCATTACAACGACTCATCTGCTACATCAGAGCTTCTTGGCACTGAAAACCGTTGAACAGACTGAACTCACCACGTCTGACTCATTCATCTTGATGGTCATTTTACTGACAGCATCTGTTGCTTTGTTGATCATTTTCAGGAAGCCGGCGCCGCTCAGAGCCTGGGTGCTCACTGCTCTGGGCAACTGAGGGGACACACACACACACAGACACACACACACACTCTCTCTACTTCTGTTTCTATGTTTCTTTCCACTCAAACACATACTCGCAATCTCTTGGTCCCTGTGCGTGTGTGTTTTGGGGTTTAATTACGTGATTTTTATGGCATAATCACTTGGTCCTAATAAAGCCAAGAGAGTCTTAGGGGAGGTTTGCACACACACACAGACGCCTCCTTTTCTCTCTGAAACACAAACACACACACACACACACACACGGCATGTTTAGATCCGCTCAGTTTAGTCCATCTGTTAGGTTTGGTAGAACTGAG